GCTTGATGTTCAGGCAGTGCTTCTTGTAGGTCAGAGCACAGTCCAGAGTGACTCCCAGGGATTTGGGTGCGCCTGGTGTGACGGGGCCTCTCTCCTTCCGCAGATCCTTCTGGCCAACTTCCTGGCCCAGACGGAGGCCTTGATGAAGGGGAAGACGACCGACGAAGCCCGCCAGGAGCTCCAGGCTGCCGGGATGAGCGGAGACGCTCTGGAGAAGCTCCTTCCCCACAAGGTACACGGGACTCAACGTATTGCCACCACCAGTCCAGACAAGCGCTGTGGTGCAAAGGCCTGCCATGCGCCTGTTGCTCCATTGCTTGCTCTCTTCTCAGTCAAATACACCCAAAAGGCAGAGCAAAGCTCCCTATGGACTCTTAGCGCTCTCTACAGGATCATAATAATGTTTTGCATCAGGCAGCCATGGCTGAATGCTTTCAAGGCATTTCCAACTCGTAAGGGCTTTTGAGATGGATCTGTTTGCATTTCTTCCTTTGGAAATTTGCAACAGTGGAAGCTACAGTGCAAATTATTATTATTATTATTATTATTATTTTATTTGCATTTCTTCCTTTGGAAATTTGCAACAGTGGAAGATACAGTGCAAATTATTATTATTATTATCATTATTATTTGCATTTCTTCCTTTGGAAATTTGCAACAGTGGAAGCTACAGTGCAAATTATTATTATTATTATTATTATTATTATTATTATTATTATATTTGCATTTCTTCCTTTGGAAATTTGCAACAGTGGAAGATATAGTGCAAATTATTATTATTATTATTATTATTATTATTATTATTATTATTATTATTATTTGCATTTCTTCCTTTGGAAATTTGCAGCAGTGGAAGCTACAGTGCAAATTATTATTATTATTATTATAATTATTATTATTATTATTATTATATTTTATTATTTGCATTTCTTCCTTTGGAAATGCCCAGTTTACTATCATTAGCATTTCTTACTTTGGGAATATTTTTATTTCTATTTCTTTTTCTCCCTTTAGAAATATGCAACAGTGGAGGATACAGTGCAAACAATAATAATAATAATAATAATAATAATAATAATAATAATAATTACACAGTCCTAGACGCTTGGGAAGTGTTCGACTTGTGATTTTGTGATACAAAATACAGCATATAGATCTCGTTTGCTGTGACATACTGTGCTTTTGTGTCAGTAATAATAATAATAATAATTTATTATTTGCATTTAGTTTTATATTATTATTATTATTATTATTATATTATTATTATTATTATTATTATTATTATTATTATTATTATTAGCAGCAGCAGCAGCAGCATCAGCATCAGCATTGCTTCCTTTGGAAATTTGCAACAGTGGAGGATACAGTGCAAATAATAATCACTATTATTATATTTTATTACTATTTTATTATTTGCATTTCTTCCTTTGGGAGTAATAATATTAAAAAAATCTGTTCCTAGTTTGAAAGTGTTATTTCCTGTGAGAGAGCAGAAGACACCATCTGACTCCTCCTGACAGAGAACCATCCAGTCTCTGCTTAATAATACAATCCTAGAGTTGGAAGAGACTCCCAAAGGCCATCCAGCCTTTGATTCATCAACATAATAATAACAATAATAATAGCAACAATAATAATAGAATCCTAGAGTTGGAAGAGACTCCCAAAGGCCACCCAGCCTTTGATTCATCAACATAATAATAATAATAATAATAATAATAATAATAATAATAATAGAATCTAGAATCCTAGAGTTGGAAGGGGCCTCCAAAGGCCACCCAGCTTTTGTTTAATAATAATAATAATAATAATAATAATAATAATCCTATAGTTGGAAAGGGCCTCCAAAGGCCATCCAGCCTTTGCTTAATAATAATAATAATAATAATAATAATAATGATAATGATAATAATAATAATAATAGAGAATCCTAGAGTTGGAAGCGACCCTCAAAGGCCATCCATCCCACCCTACCCCGCCATGGTGTTTTCTTATGCTGGGAAATTTGGTAAGGAGGGGAAGTTTTGTGCTTGGACAGATGGGTGTGTAATAATCTATTTCCTTCTCTTTTCTCTCCCCCCCCCCCCCCCCACAAAGGTCTTCCCACCAACTCCATTGTGTTTACTAAGCTGAATCCCTTCATGCTGGGAGCCTTAATTGGTAAATGCGCTTTCACTTCTTGCGTTTCTTACTTGTTAGCGTGTTCTCTCCTGAGGAGGGGCGCCCACGTGTCCTTACCTTTCTTTCTCCCCCCTTTTCCCCTCCAGCCATGTATGAACACAAGATCTTTGTCCAAGGGGTCGTGTGGGATATCAACAGCTACGACCAATGGGGGTAAGTCCCACTTATTATTGTGTAGGTAGGTCCAGGACCGTGTTCTCTTCCCTAAGGGCTCCCTCCTCATTGAGGACTGCCACCTTGTGCGGGACGTGGCCGTGTCTCAGTGTTTTCCTCCGCTTGGGTTTCCCGCAGGGTGGAGCTGGGCAAGCAGCTGGCCAAGAAGATTGAGCCGGAGCTGTCCTCGGACGCCCCCGTCACCTCCCACGACTCCTCCACCAACGGCCTCATCGGCTTCATCCAGAAGCACCGCGCCTGAAGCCTATGCGCCACGGGGAGCGGCGGCGGCGCCAACACCCGACACCACACGCCACAGCCGCCGAGGTCCATGTTGTAGTTGCTGCTTCCGTTCTGCCCCTCCGGCTTGGGGGGAGATGTCGCACTTTGCACCCGTTCTCTTTGTCACCGGTTGTCGACGGTTAGCTTCGTTTCGGAAAAGCCTCGTTGTTGTTGTTTGTGTGTTTATGGCAGCAGAGATTGTAGGACGCACCGGGCCCTGCGTCACCTGAGCGTACGCACACCTGGCAGTCGAAATACCCTTTTGCCCCTCACGTAGTGAGCCAGGTGAGGAAAAACCCAGCCTTCCTTGTACCAGGTTATAACAGAATTAACAAAACACGTCTATCATGCGTTGTGTTGTTGTGTTTTATTTTTGGGGTGTTTGTGGCATCTTAGGAGGCATCATGCCTTTGCCTTTGCAAGAAAAGCAAGCGCAATTCAAAAGGCTTTGCTGAATGAGTCTGGGAGATGCTCTAATAATAATAAGAATAATAATAGTGGTCGAAGGTTATACATTATTATTATTATTATTATTATTATTTCACTACCGGGTCTTTCGCGTTTTTTGCCTCATCAAACTTCTATCATCACGTAGCACTGAGTTGTGGCAATTAAAGTGGCACTAAACCACATCTATTCCATAATGTAGACACACTCCACTAGTTTCAGCTGCTATAGCCGGTATGGGCAAACCCAGGCCCCAGATGTGGCCCCTTGGGCTCTCTTCTCAGGCCCTCCTCTCTCTATTCTTCCTTTCGTCCTTCCTTCCCTCTCTTTCTTCTTCCTTTACACTCTTTCATCCTTCCTTCCCTTTTTCCTATCCTTCTTTTTCTCTTTCCTTTATCCTTCCCTTCCACCCATCCTTCTCTTTCCTTCCCTCTTTTTCTTCTTCCATCCTTCCTTACCTTCCTTTTGTCTTTCTTTCCTCCTTACCTCCCTCCCTTTTCATCTTCCTCCCCTCTTCCTTCCCTCCCTTCTATTATTCCCTCCTTCCTTTCCACCCTTTTGTCTTTCCTTCCTTCTCTTTCCTTTATCCTTCCCTTCCACCTTTTTGTCCTTCCCTCCCTTTTGCCTTTCCTTCCTCCATACTTCCCTCCCTTTTCATCTTCCTCCCTTTCCTTCCCTCTTTATCATTCCCTCCTTCCTTTCCACCCTTTTATCCTTCCTTCCCTTTTGTCTTTCCTCCCTCCTTTTCTCCTTCTACTCTTTCATCCTTCCTTTTCATCCCTCTCTCCCCTTCTCCTTCCCTTTTCCTATCCTTCCTTTTCTCTTTCCTTTATCCTTGCCTTCCCCCCTTCCTTCCCTTTTGTCTTTCCTCCTTCCTTCCCTTTCTCCTTTCCTCCACCCTTTTGTCCTTCCCTCCCTTTTATCTTTTCTTCCTCCCTTTTCATCTTCCACCCTTTTGTCCTCCCTCCCTCTCCTTTTGCCTTTCCTTCCTTCTCTTTATCATTCCCTCCTTCCTTTCCACCCTCTCATCCTTCCTTCCTTCCCTTTTGTCTTTCCTCCCTCATTTTCTCCTTCCACCCTTCCTTCCCTTTTGTCCTTCCCTCTTTACTCTTTCCTTTATCCTTCCTCTCTTCCTTCCTCCCTCCCTTTCTTCTCTCTTTCCTTCTTCCTTCCCTTCCCTCCTTCTATTCTTCCCTTCCACCCTTTCCTCCTTCTTTCTCCTTCCATCCTTCCTGTCCACCTTTTCGTCCTTCCTTCCTTGTCTCTTTCCTCTGTGTCTCCCTTTCTCCTTCCTTCCCTTTTGTCTTTCCTTCCTTCTCTCTTTCCTTTATCCTTCCTCTCCTCCTTCATCTTTCCTTTATCCTTCCCTCCCTCACTCTACTTCCCTTCCTCCCTTTTGTCCTTCCTTCTCTCTTTCTTTCCTCCTTCCCTTCCTCCTCGCAGGGAGTGTTAGCATGTGGTCCCCAAGTTCGAAAGTTTACGCAGGACTGTGCTATTGCCTTCCCTCAGCAGCCTTAAGGCTATTTCTTCCTTTGTCTTGCATAAAATACGTACAATTCGTTCTTACACAAAAACATCAACAACACTCTCTTTGGCCCTCCCTCCAGGTGTTTTGGACTTCAACTCCCACCATTCCTAACAGCCTCAGGCCCTTTCCTTTTCCTCCTCACCACAGTAATGTACCTGGGAGCAGAAATCTGGTTGGGTTGTTGTAGGTTTTCTGGGCTATATGGCCATGTTCTAGAGGCATTTTCTCCTGACATTTTGCCTGCATCTATGGCAAGCATCCTGAGAGGTAGTGAGAAATCTGGTTGACACAGCAAGGCCATAAATCTTCTCATAAGATGGGGAAAAACTAGGAGGCTAATGAGGCAGCACTGAACCAATGGGTCTGAATACATGCGCTCACAGCAATCAAATAATGATGGAATGGCTTAATGCAAGCATGGGCAAACTTCGGCCTTCCCTCCAGGTGTTTTGGACTTCAACTCCCATAATTCTTAACAGCCTCGGGCCCTTTCCTTTTCCTCCTCAGCCGCTTAAGCAGTAATGTAGCTGGGAGAAGAAATCTGGTCGACAGCAAGGCCTTAAATATTCTCATAGAAGATGGGAAAAAACTAGGATAATCGTCATCGAGGTCTTGCACGCCTTTGCTTTTGATCGTTTCGTGCCGAAATAATTCTCATTTTGGACCAAAATTGGGGCAGAATTCACTCTTACTGGCATTATTATTCCATCCGTTTGGAAATGGAGGACTATAGTACAAGCATAGGCCAACTCCAGGTGTTTTGGACTTCAACTCCCACCATTCCTAACAGCCTCAGACCCTGTTCCCCCCTCGGATACTTAAATGGTGATACAGCTGCGAGTAGAAATCTGGTTGACACAGCAAGGCCATAAATCTTCTCATAGAGGATGGGAAAAAACTAGGAGGCTAATGAGCTAGCACTGACACAATGGATCTGAAATAATGTAATCGCTTAATGCAGGCACGGGAAAACTTCGGCTTTTCTTCCAGGTGTTTTGAACTTCAACTCCCACCATTCCTAACACCCTCAGGCCCTTTCTTTTTTCACTTAAGCGGCTGAGAAGGGAAAGGAAAGGGCCTGAGGCTGCTCCTATACAACAGTGTTTCTCAACCTGGGGGTCGGGACCCCTGGGGGGGTTGCGAAGGGGTGTCAGAGGGGTCGCCAAAGACCATCAGAAAACACAGTATTTTTCTGTTGATAGTGGGAGTTCAGCATGGAAAGCTTGGCCCAATTCTCTCATTGGTGGGGTTCAGAATGCTCTGTGATTATAGGTGAACTATAAATCCCAGCAACTACAACTGCCAAATGTCAAGCTTCCACCACTGTTCACGTTTGGGCATACTGAGTATTTGTGCCAATATTTTGTCCAGATGCATCGTTTGAGCCCACAGTGCTCTCTGGAGGCTGGTGAACTATAACTCCCAAACTCAAGGTCAATGCCCACCAAACCATTCCAGTATATTCTATAGGTCATGTGTGCCAAGGTTGGTTCAATACCATCGTTGATGGAATTCAGAATGCTCTTTGATTGTAAGTGAACTATAAATCACAGAAACTACAACTCCCAAGTGACAAAATCAATCCCCCAACCCCACATATCGGGTATTTGTACCCAATTTGGTCCAGTGAATGAAAATACACTCTGCCTGTCGGATATTTGGAGCCCCCAATGGCGCAGTGGGTCAAAGTGGCAGGACTGAAGACCGACAGGTCGCAGGTTCGAATCCGGGGAGAGGCGGATGAGCTCCCTCTATCAGCTCCAGCTCCTCACCACATGAGGAACTGGATTAAGGGGTCACGGGATTAGGAAGGTGGAGAACCACTGCTATACAAAGACATCAACCGCACACTCTTCCCGGTCTCTCAATCACCATCAGACCAGACGTCTCCATAAAGCGCCATCTTTTATTGAAGGACATCTAAAGGTTAAAAGGAAACTCTTGACTTCCAATATTAAAAAATAACTTAAGTCGCTTCTTCTTCTTCTTCTTCTCCGTGAGATAAATAATCCTACTTTTCCCCAAACTTTTATTCATCCGGGAAGGAAATCGACAGCGTTGCCAAAACGGAGTCCGAAACCTAAATGTTCTAAGAAGGATATTATATACACAAACATGGTCCGACTAGAAAGTATTTGCAGCATAACAACTTATATATATATAATAATTATATATAATATATATACATAAACGAGGCCGAAACTTATATACAAACGGGGCATTGTAAAAAAAAAAAATCCACATTGGTCCAAGTTATTATTGGAAAAAAACAAAACTTAATTTAAGTCAAATGATACGCTCTCTAGATAAGGATCCAATGATAATCGTCATCGAGGTCTTGCACGCCTTTGGTTTTGATCGTTTCGTGCCGGAATTCTCATTTTGGACCAAAATTGGGGCAGAATTCGCTCTTACTGGCATTATTATTCCATCCGTTTGGAAATGGAGGACTATAGTACAAGCATAGGCCAACTCCAGGTGTTTTGGACTACAACTCCCACCATTCCTAACAGCCTCAGACTCTGTTCCCCCCTCGGCAACTCAAGTGGTGATACAGCTGGGAGTAGAAATCTGGTTGACACAGCAAGGTCATAAATCTTCTCATAGAGGATGAGAAAAAACTAGGAGGCTAATGAGCTAGTACTGACACAATGGGTCTGAATACTAGGCTCGTTTGATCGTGTTCGTTAGTTT